AATTACAGTCACGTTATTTTCACGTGTTGTTTTTCTACTCTTTCCTGTTACGTGACTTTAGTTACGTTTTTAATTTTCTCTACATATACGACGAACTGTCTCAAAATCGCTTTTCATTATTTACTCTCTCGATCTTACCGATTCGATTCGACTCGACTCGACTCGATCAACCAACTAATCGGCAACGCGGAAAAGAGACAACAATAGATACGATACATTTGATATCAAAACGCGCACTTCGCGGTACACATGGATTTTTTATATAGGAGGAGGATTTAATACTATTCTATTTAATACTATTAAAATGATCTATAGCACTAACTTACAAGTTTTGTTATATATATCATAATCATGATTCTGCAAATACTTAAGGAAGATATATACGTTTTACTTTAAAATTACAATTTTTATCTTAAATTAATAACTATAACGTAGCAACAAAAATATAAAATGTTAATTTTGACTGTGATATAAAATTGAAATAAATAAGCAATGATTGATAATATTAACTAAACGTTTTGTAGTATTTTATGTATATGTTGTCAGACTTTGTATGCTATATATATATATCTATTACAAGTTTCAAGACATACGAATTTGTGCGATGTACAGCTTGATCCATAAAAGTTTGTAATAAAATATACTCTTTCCTGTTTTACGTATTTTGTGAATGTTTTACAATCGCTTATAATATTTACGATTATCATATGTCAATGAAATTTGTTTATAAAAATAGAACTGTATATTTATGTACATGTTCAGCTTATTTTCTTTTTAAAAAGAAAACTAGTAGATAGTAAAATTATATGCAAATATATTTTTACGTTTAACGAAATGTTAAGAGTAAATTGATAAAAAAGATATAAATAATCTCTTTTCATTAAAAATATGAAACAAAACATAGTTTATGTACAGAAACTATATTAATAGACTCTAATACCGATGAGCTATGTAATATAAGAAGTATTACATTAATATAATACACGGATTGATTACAGCCTGAAAAAAGCTTTGTGTCCTCGGCTGTTTGGTATTTGACCTTGTAATCGTAACCTACGGACAGCTTCTCTCAAGTGCTTCGGTTGTAACGGACCGGTTTCATTCTGAGCTTCCATGACGTCTAAAGCTACAAAATATAATAACAATTTAAAGAAAAACGTTTAATACTTCAGCAAGATATTTAAAACAAATTAATCCAAACCTTCTTCCACAATTTCGCCAACAAATACTTTGGCAATTCCTGACATAGCTATGACAACATTCTGTGATACTGAACAGCCCGTTATAGTTTGCATGATCTGAAATACATTATTGCCAAACTTAAATACATTCTTTAAAGAAAATATGCTTTTTTTATATAATTCTTGTTTTACAATTAACAATTAAGATACAATACCCTTTTTATAGCTGCTTTTGGGAATGCAGACCGTCTGTACATTTCATACCTGTCCAACTGATCTTCAGTAAAATTAGACACTAGTACTCTGAAAATGCAAGATTGTGTGTAGAACATATTTAATAAATCTAATTATTAACTATAGTTATTACTATTCTTTCAATACGCATTCAAATTATGACATTGAATACATACTGCATTTTCTCTCGTTCTTCCTCCTCTAATTCCTTTTTACTCTTTTCTTTGCTTTCTCTTCTTTCTTTTGCACTGATTGGATTTGGACGAGGTAATATAATATCATTGCTAAATATGTCTTCTGCTGTTTGTTCTTCCTCCTTTATGTCAATCTCATTGCTTATGACTTCCATTTGATCTTCTATGATTGGACACATGGAATGTAACCCAGTATTTTCATTCTCTTCTGTATCTGACTGTGACTGGGACTGAGAGCTCATTGCATCAGACTCTATCTGTATTACAAATGTTTAATTTCATTTAAAATATATTTATAACATGTCAACCATACAAGAGATTATTCAAGTTCTATCAATATTTCTACCTTAGCTTGTACACCATCGGTATCCATAGCTTCTGCATCTTTTGATCCTGAATTTTGTGAGGGACTATTTTTAGTATCTTTATCTTCATCTCTCTCTTCAATATCATTATGCTCGCTTTCATCCCCAGAATCTTCCTTTCCAAATATGTTATCCATTATTTTTCTACTAGAAACGATATAAAATAATTAATATAAACATTAATTGAAACAATATTATTTTTACTACTTACTGTTACTAATGCGGTTTTTCTGTCACTAATATCGAGTAAGAATCAAAATTTCTCAGATGAAGAAAATATTAACCACACTATATGACAAATATAATCACTACAATTCACCACAAGTCATTTCTTGCTTTCTCTTCTTTGCATTCTTGCTCCTGAACGTGTTTTCATTCTCGAGCGTCGCGATGTTAGCGCCACGTTTTGCGCATATCAACTACATACCGCAAACCAACTCAGTCAATATGACTGCGTAGTTCCAATGTGCACCACCCGTAGACATGCGCTAGTTTGTTTATTCCGGATCGGAAAAGTGATTACACTTTCTCTTATAGGCCGCTCTCAGGCTTCTCTCTGGTTTCAGGCAGAGTTGCACACGGATGGCGATTCTCGCTTGTGTGCGTATCCTCACCGCTTCGATCTCTCGTCTTGCTCTCTGCTCGATCTTGCGCGCGCAACTCTGGTTTCAGATTGGTTCGTGTGGTTGATACGCGCAAAATATGGAAATCACGGCGTTCGAGGACGGGAACACGTCCAGATCGTGTAAATAAATAAATAAATAGAGCAAAAAATTTGAAATACCATGAACCAAAGTATTGTGCGTTAAAATAAGAAACGTCGTAAAGACAAGAGGTAATTGAAATAATTATTTTATTGTTAATCTTGTAGTATTATACTGCGATAATAAACATGAGGGGGCCGCTCAGTCTGTCAGTTACATTCGAAGCGGTAGGACAGTTTGCGTCCTTTTGCGTAATACTGATGACTACGTGACTGCCATTTCCGCCTCTTTTTCTTATTTCGAATATCCATGTAGTGTATCTTTTTTCTTGGTTTTAATGAAACACTGAAGAAGATCCCATGGTGGATCGAAACGTTTGTTAAAACTTTTTTAAAATCTTAAAATTATAAAAGAATTGTACCCGAACATTTGGTGTTAGCTTGTTATTGCCATTTCCTTAATTCTTTTTATTTAAATATTTATTTAAACAAGCTGAAATCATATAATTGATAATAAACAATGTTATATATGTGGATTGAGCTTCGTGATCATTATAAGATAGTAGAATACAATTATAACTTCTTAAGAAATTTTATAATTTTAATTCTACTTGTACGCGCGAATTTTATTTAGATGAAATCTCAGGCTCAAACTTCACTCACGACCTTGTCCATGATCGATCTCCAAGAGTTGGAATCTCAAGCGTCCGTTAAAGATGCAGCTAATCAGACATTTCTGCAAGGTGTTCCAACGGTGACAATACCAATCGCAGTAGAACATGAAGCATCACAAACGATGTATATGAGCAGTCCTTGTCCGCCCGCGGAATATTCTCAAAATATTTTACGTAAGTGAGAAAAAGAGATAGGAAAAAATATACATCCGGATGTGATTTTGAAATGAGTATAGATTTTTTTTGGAATAATAAAGTGGATAGACAAAATTGTTTTCAACAAACACGAGTCTCTGAGTCGTTGTACGATGCTTCAATTACGCCTGGGAAGTAGGCAGTTTACCACACACAGCTGCCTATCTCTCAGATACTTCACTGCATTCGACAATTGAAACAGATTTTCTCAGATTCCATGTCCTATCGGATGCCCGCATTTACACACCACCGTTCAACACAGACTACTGTGACATTTACTCCTGTAACATCAGACCACGAAGCAATAAGAGATTTATCAAGCCGTACGTACAAAGAGCTTCAAGGAAGCCATTTGCAAGAGGATTTTGTAGACACAAAGACTATAATCCTTGAGATTTTAAACTTTTTATTGTCCCGCGCGTTCTGGATATCCGATCCCGATGAGGTTGCCGCTGAAACAAACTGTCAAGAAACACAAACTGTAATACGATACAATCACAATGCGAACATCATAGTATTGGACAAAGATGCGCAAACCAAATTAACTTGCGAGCCGCGACACTCGAACAGCAAGTTACTGGTTGAATACAAAGAAACAAAGAATTTTATCCAATTCTGTCTCGAGGAGTGTCTCTCGGGACTCGATTCTCGTATTATCGTCGACGAACTGATCGACGAAATAATTGCGAAGGGAGCGGAGATATTGAAGTATCCCATGAAAGAGCAAGTGATTCAAACCGTAGCCAGTTATAAATCGCGCGATATTAAAGAAAAAGAAGTGCTGCAGAAGTTACGGGCACGCGTCGTGATCGATCCTTTAGAGGCATCAACCGTCGTCGTGCCACTGATAGACGATCTACTGCTTTTAACTTGCGCGCAAGTGTCACGTGACGCTCGTCGTATTGTTAAGAACATTCTTGAGTCATGGATTTGTCGGAAAATCTTAATCGATTCCATCCTTGCTAAACCTCGGAAACAGTTGCAACGTTAGTGAAAATTTATAATTTTTTTTCGAAAAGTATTTCTTAACTATTTGTTAATTGCCAACAAAATACTTAGGATGAAAACGCTTTTATAGTCGATTCCGTGGAGCAAATACTCGATCGGAGAAGAAAAATGATCGTCGAGTCTATGCTAAAGAAAGAAACGAAGACCGCAGTTACTCAGACGGAACTCGCCGGAGTTGCCCAAGTTACGAAGATAAAAGAGCCGAAAGAAGTCTTGTGTTCGATTTGTGTCGAGCAGTCGTTGTGCCAGTGGTGCGTAGAAGCTGAAGAGAAAAAATTAGTTGAAACGTCCGAAATCGTGAAGTTACGACGTACGCAGGACATACTCTTGGCATACAAACCGTGTTACGTCGTTGCGACTGCTTCCGAAGAGATGAGGAGTCCGCATTTGCAACCAGCTGGCAAGATGAAGAAAATTGAAACACCAAGCACCGCAAAATTATATGCGGCGCGATGTGCGACACCTGAAAAAACAAACATCAATGACAGTACTATTGATGACATAACACTTTCGAAAGAAAATATCCAAGTTAAAAGTACGTTAACAAATAACAAATATATGTTTTTTTCTCATATCAATTTTTTCAAAAGTTCTTCATATTCTATTGTATTTTTTTCTAAATTGCTACGTAGATTCTGTTTGTGGATGGACTCATGTCATCAACGATGCGTTAGCAAAGTCGTGGTCACCAAAAGGTATTTGCATATCAATTCAGAAATTTTTATTTCTTGTGTAATTGAGTGTTTTTAAATATTTGTCTACAATACGTACTATTCTCATATTTCCATAAGTCTCGTTATAAAATGAAAACCATCTTTCGATATTATAGGCTCTGCTAGTAATGAGATTGTTACCACCGCGACAAGTTCAGTTGCAAAAGTTTGCGATAAGAAATTGTCTCAATACGTTCCGAACTTGCAAACAGCGAAGGCATTGCAAGTATTAAAGAACACATTTTGCACTCGCGACACGTGTTCTGCCATTCTCACAACATTAGAGGAACGCAATTCGATCGTTACAGACGCGAATAACAAGAAGTTTTGTGATTTAACGAATTGCACATTAGTGAAGTGCAGTAAACAACTTACTTATACCGACGTCCAAATATGCGCGAGGCCACGCGTCGATAAATTTAAAGCTTCTACCCAATCTTTATCGGAAAATTACTTGAAAGTACCAATTTAACAATAATTGATGTAAATTTCACATTATTTAATATGTAAACAGAAATATATTCAAAACTTCCTATTGAAATTTATATAAAAAACCGATCATAAATTAGTTAGAACGAGATTTTTCTGCTTTATTTGAAAGGTGAAAATTATACAGGAAAAAGACTTTCTTAAAATTTAATTAATAAAAATAAAAAATTATAAAAAGTTAAATTTATTTATTTACTTTAAAACAGCAAGTTTCTCTTTGCGTATTTTCTTACAATTGATACATGCAACATATTATTGCTAAATAATAGCTAATTCGATCTTAATTTGGCGACTTTTTGCAAAGTTTTTTCTTTTTTTTATTCGACAATTCGATTTATACAATAATGGTAATAATAGTTTATTTTACATATAGGAACAATATATTTGTTATTTTTTGTTTTCCTTCTTTGCAAAAACATGTAAAATCGTGCAAAAAACACTTTTCTTTTTCTACAAAAAAGAATATAATTTGTCTGTATCACAAACATTACGTTTTTTTTTTCGCAAGAAATACAAAACACAAGTTACGTTATCTTCTTTTATAGATGCTAGGAAGTAGTACGTATCTCATAAATGAAACGTGAAAAGAATAAAATTGCAACATTTCGAGCCTATACTATTAGTCATAAAAGACGAGAAAATTTATATATAAATCGTTTATTCGTTATACGCGGATTAAACGGAGTCCGAGCAATTATTGAGCATAAGAATGTGCAACGCGATTTAATTCAACTCAAGATACATGTTTATGCTACCTGACCACAGTTAAACCGGATACACGTAACAAACAGTTGTGAAATCGCTTTGTCACACAACTAGCTCAATAAGATTCGCGTATAAACTTGATGAATTTATAACAATTTAAAGTACCTAACGTAAGATATTTATAAATGTCCAATAACCTTGGCTCATGAAGACAGCGCGCCAAAGTTCTTCAACCTAAGCATTAGATGTCTGTCGACAGTCTCGTCAAAATGTTTTAATGAGAACAACATACGTACACACACATATATTTTGGCACAAAATAAAAAAAATGCACTACAGAGTATTTTTGCGTCCTGATACACTGCATTGTTCGAATACCACGCCTATAGTCTTTTTGCCAGTATCCGATATCAAATCAAAAACGACGATTGTGTAATAATGAAAGTGTAATATCAAATATAAAAATGTTCAAGTATTCGAAAAATGTACGTGAGACACGTGAAAATTGTGACAAAATGTACAAAATCTATCATTTTCTGAAACTGCTCCACAGTCTTATACGGTAATAGTAAAAAAAAAAGAACGTGAAAAAATAATTCTGCGTTTAAAAACAAACGTATCGGACTAAGAACGAAAGATCCGTCGTGATATTCTAGCAACGCGTATCCGTAATTAGAGCACGGATATATATTCTATACGTATTATAACACAAGTGAATATTCTGTACACGAATATTCTGTACATGTTAACTTTCTCGTTTTCACAAATACGTGTTAATAACATACAATTACCTTTGTATACACGGTCTAAGGTTTGTATAAATATGTGACACTGATGTTCTAAACGGTGAAGTCAACATCTGCCAAATTTTCGCGCAAACATATGTTTCCTTTTCAATATTTTTTTTTCTTATAATACGATTTTTTTACATAGACACGAAACACACGCATTATTTTATCTCACTTCATTTTCTAAATCACACTAGAGTCGTTCATTCTCTTCGGCTTCTGTATCGGCCGCTTTTTCCGTCGTCACTTCGTTAAGTTGCTTCTCTTCTTCGATAGGTACTTGAGGTTGAGTTGTATCGTTCCACGGTTGAATCTCCGCCGATCCAAACAACCAAAAGAGTACTGTCGCTGACGTAAACACCACTGCCGATATCCAAAACATCACACGCCATTCTTCAACGCCATTCTGTAATACAAAAATAGAATATTTGAAAAATGATCAAATATGAAAAATATTAAAGTTATCTAAATTTATTAGTACATAAACGCACCCTTTCATTGGTCAAAGCACCAATAATAGGCGGAATGATGAATCCGGGGAAACTACCAAACGTATTCATGATTCCGTATAAGGAACCAGCGTAGTTCGGTGCCAGATCTTGGTGATTCTGTAAATTGGTCTGACACGCGGCTCCATTGAAAGCTAGAGCCAGTATTAACATTATAATCGCAGTCGTGGCGTCGCAGCCCACGTACGTCATCACTACTAGACAAACTGCAGGTCCTATATGAGCTGTTGAAGAGCATGATCGTGTAATAAGGTGATTAAATAAACAATTACGTATAAAGAAGTGCGCATTGTAGAATATTTTAAATTTATAAGCTGAAACGGGGAACACGGTTGTTCGAAATTACTCACAGAAAAGCATGAATATCTTTCTTATCCAGCCCAACGACAAGACCTTTTTCCTCCGCACGTAATCGCCCGCTGCTGCAAATAACACACCGGCGCCTAATCTAGCTATATACGGCAGTCCGGTTATCGCGCCACCCTATGTAAAATATTAAGAAAAACCTACATAAAGTATTTAAAAAAAAAAAAATCATATATTTTATTAAACATAATGATCAAATCTCTAGCGTGAAATAATTTTTCACGAGAATAATACCGATTTCATGTTGAAACCAAGAACTTCCAACGTATATTTGGGCCCGTTTGTAGCGATAAAGTATATACCCCACATGTTTGCAAAGTGAGCCCACAATAGCACTAGGAACGGTCCAGATGTAGCGACCGCCTTTACTGGTAGTTGTACCTGTGCGTGATACGTCAATGTAAACATAATTTACAATCAGATGTAGCTAAACACAAAATCTATTGAATAGTATGTGTGCACGCACTTTTTGTTTTGAGACGGAAGTGCCTATTTGTTCTTTTATATATGTTTTCTCTTTTTCCGTAATTCCCGGATGTATATCTGGTGTATCGTATATCAGGAATACCCATAGGACGTAAAAAACTAACATAAGTCCGCTCGTAACGTAAAACGCAGCGTTCCATCCGTAAGCACTAATTACTGCACCGCACAAAGCGAACGTTACAACAGTTCCAAATGGACCACCTTGAAAAAAAAAAAAAACACAAAAAATGCGATGTTTTTCTAAAAAAAAATCTTTTTTAAAAAAACACATGATTCTTGAAAATACCTTGCATAGTCCACACGAACATGCCTTTTTCACCTGGAGGAACCCATCGAGCGATCATCGCGTGAAGAGCGGGATAAACGGCGCCCTGAAAATCAATGCTAAGTTAATTGCTAAACAGTTGTAAGTTTCTGCAAAGACTGTCAACTCAAATAGTTTTAAGTTAATTGACAATCTCATAAGACAACTTACTCCAAAAAATCCCATTACAAAACGTAGTGCAAATACAAAACCGTAATGAATACCCGCAGCCCAAGGCATCAAGAGATTTAATACGGCAGGTATCAAAGTAGCAAATCTACATCACATAAATAAACTGGTAAAACACAAATTACCACGTGTAGCAAATCGACAACTATCAAATTAAAATTCTTCGATTATGTACTCACGCCACCACTTTCGAGCCTCCATATTTTTCGGCTAAGAGTCCAGCTGGTACACTAGCCGGTAGAACACCATAAAAGTATCCTGACAATAACAGCCCTTGGACGTGTTGATTCCACTCGTAACGCTCTCCGAACTGAGATGTAAGAAAGAACGCGTTCAAAATTTTGCAAGACTACGATAATATTTTATTACACAAAGACTCTATAGTGGGAGATGATACAAATGCAACAATTCGATAAAAAAAAAAAGTGCAAAGTCTAACATGCGCACGATATAAATTTTATATTAATACATCAAATTTACAACCACTCACGTGCATTTGAATCTCGTGAACGTGTAACTTACATCTTTGAGTACGACGGTTTTATTACTTTTTATATCTGTCGCGCTACATGCTGGACCGGTACCGTCTTTGCCCGTAGCGTTCACCATAGCGACGATTGATATGGACAAATTGGTGCGAATGACATACGAGAACATGCACGCCAGAAACATCATCGCCCCCAGGATTCCTCTCCGAGGAATCTTTTCTGAAATAAAAAATATTCATCTATGTATATATTTCCCACATTGTCTCAAGAAAAAACATTTATGTACTCATAAATCTTGCTTTATTTACTGGGACAGACTCGTGCGCATCTCAGGTCAAAATAATGTGCGACACAGTACGAAGTCGAGAATCTGACCTTTATCATCGGCGCGTAATAATTTTAAATCAGGAATTGTACAACGTATCTTTCCAACAGTAAACATCTATCTCTCTGTGTTCTGTTACGTGCATGCGACGTAACGTTCGATGCGAACAATGCAGCAATTGCAATTGCACGTGCGTGATGCGATTTGTCGACAACTATATCCGCACAATATTATTGTAATAATGCAACATAAATTTAAGCGGTCCGCTGATAAATTACGCGATGGGAAAATCGGATCGATAACTCGCCGCTTTGAACTTCGAAGCATCACGTGTTCTCATCGTTCCATACATGTGTGATGTAATGTTCTAATAACAAGCAATCGTTACAAACTCTCGTATATTCGCAATCGGTTATTAAAACTTAAACAATTTTCGCGTTGATTTATGTGATTAACGGTCTCGTACAAAGATTGAAGGTGACATAATTAATGTAAAAACAAGTGTGTAATATCATCGATAAAAATAACGTGACATTGAATTGAATTTTTATCACACAACGAGGTGATATAAAGTAATACAGCTTTAGACTTGATTTGAGAACAAACTCACGCAAGCAATGTTTGAAAATCGTTCTCTGAGTGATGTAAATTACGCAACTCTGAAGTGTTAATCGCGATAATATTCACACAGACTTGATGCAAACCGTTTTTTTTATTTTTTTTTATTTGGATGTTACAATTATGATAGCTCGATGCATCTCGCGCGCCGATCGTCGCCTTCGATAAAACACAAATAGCGTACGCGCTGTAATATATTGGTCTGTGGTATTTTTTTGGTTTTTTTTAGAAAAACGAAAAATGCGCGTCAACATCGAACGACCGTGAACGAGCAACCTGTCTATTTCATAAGTCTATTTCTGCGAGATGGATGACGAGAAATAGCGGCTCAAATTACACGCAGTCTTCGCAAAGTCGAGAATCTGCTTGTTATGAGATACACTCATTCACAAGGAGAAACCATGACTTACGCGAAAGACCGCATTGTACACTGTGGAACGGCAGTTAATTTGAATTCCTGTTTCGATAAGGAATAATATGGTATAAAAAACACGTATACGTGAGATTTCTGCATCGTTAGCACCAAATGCAATGTGCTCATCATTATCGGTATTATATCAGATGGAAATACTCTTGTGTAAAAATGCAAATTGTACGATCAGTGAGAATTACATAATAAAACTTCGCTTGCACAAACAGTCAAACAAACTTTGTTGCGTTTTACTGTATCTGCATGAATATTTTTTTTTAGAGAAAAGTTTTTAACGCTAATATAAAAACATATTCCTTAAATTTTAAAAAGATGTTGACGAGAAAAGACGATTGTTTTTCGTTTATTTATATACAAGCATGTGCAATTGAAGTTATAATTTCACAAATTCAATTGCACACGCGTATTATTCCTATTCTATATTTAACTGTGCACACAAGCACATGGTTTTGATATTTCGTAATTTGTTATTGAAGTCCAAAGTATACTCTGACGAAAATATATACGTATATGTATATATATATTGATGATGACATTGAACCATCAATATCTCAAAGTGAAAAGACTACTGAATTCTTTTGAAATGTTCAATTTGGAAATGTTTTACACATGTGCAATGAAAAAATAGATTTAAAAAAAAAAAAAAACAGATAATAAATAATATATTAACATTGTTCTAAAAAGTGGAATAAAAATAAAATTCCACAAAACACTATCAAAAAAATTGTGATAAACTTATTACAAGATATAGATAAAATGAGACAGATCGCGACACACATAATAAATTATCAGTTGATAATTTATTATAAAAATAAATTAAGATCTGAACGCGTATGTTCCTTTTATTGTTCTATTGATAAAAGAATTTAAGAATCCAAATTGTGCTCGCGTACAGACTTTTAATTTATTTTTATTTCTCCGCACATTGTACCTTTATAACCACCTAATTATTTGACAATTGTGAACTTACCATTGAACTTTCGGAAGAGAGCCATGCTTGTTCACTGTGAATGATCTTCGTGACTGTACGTTACTTTTATAAGCGTGAGAACGCGAGAGATGCGAGCAAATGGAATTCTTCCAATTGTCTCCGTTGAATGATCAGTGCCACCAGTTAGTTCGTGATTGAGAGGCTAGCACTTTCTGCTTTTCGGTGTTCAATCGATTTGCCGCCGACTGTAGGCTCGTCGATCGTTTTGCGTCATTCCGCGAATTTACCGAGTCGATAGGCAGGACGACGGTGTGTAATCGTCACACGACGAATGAGATTCTTCACTTTTACCACTTACACTCTTGTCTTGACGAGCGTTGACGCGCCCCTCCGTCACAATCACGAGAATACCTGAAAAACACGCGGCACCTGCCGTCACGTTCGTAACACGTATCTTACACGCACGCACGCCAACGCGGAATTCTAAATTTAAAACATCGTCGTCGCGATATATTAAATCGCCCGGACTTGTCGCGATAATCGTGTGGCGCGCTCACGTGGTAAAGAGCATGAAGAGAAAGTCAGGATCACAACAGTGCGAGGACTTTAACTGGACAATCTAAACGAGCAATTATTTGTCAACTTATGTCAAGTGTTATATCATAGTTTGTGTCTATGAGATGACGATAAACTTACGTATTTAAAGAGACGAAAACGTCAGACGCGCGTGACGTTATCTGACAATGATGAAAAGTGATGTAATAAAGAGCAATAAAGCACGTCGTTCATTCACCGATGTGTGTCATTAACACAGTTTCCTTAAATTTATTCGGGTTTTATTTCTTATTGACACGCGTCTTTCCCGTGATAAGTATTTTAATCTTTAGTTTTGAGAACCGCTCATCATCGAGTATTAAGATAAGAGACGCGAACGCACCCGTAGACTCGAACAAGCTTTTACTCAGCGCTTCACGTTACGCGAAACCTCGTACATGTGTAATTACGATCGCTCTGTAGCAACACTACGCGCCATCGAATGACTTATCATTAGCAGATAACTACTGACCGCATGCAAAAGAGATACTTCGTACGAGTAATAGATTCTGAATTGTTACATGTATACACGGGATATAAATAAAATTATTCATTCTGTCGTTCGGACACGATTTTCGAACGTCCTCGCTTCGATGCTTTGTAATAAATGAAAATAATGAGAAATTATTGATGAGACTAAATTAAAACGTGAAAAAAAAAATAATAATAATGAGCTAGATAGAGCAACTTGATTTTAGATTATCGTCAAATTATCGTCTAACGTCACTTGTAAAGCCGGTTATCCACTCTGTATCCGATCTTATCAGTGAGTGACGCTCGATTTGAAACTGTCTGTGAACGGTGCACTTCCGGATTTAGCACATGTACAAACATTCACACGATGTGTGAGCGTAAAAATCGTTTTATGTACCTGAACACGACTGATAAAAGTTAATCGCGATCTGCTGACATATCATACGTTGACACGTTGATACTCGCGCGCGCAGCTGTCTCGAAACAATGTAGCATAATAATTATCTCAGATTTAAAAAAAAAAAAAAAAAAAAAAAAACTGACTATAGAACTCGTGATTTTTTTTAAATTACATCATAATTACGCTGTGTATTCTCTCGTGACCAACCGAGCGTGCATGTGAAAGCACGTGAGCTATTCGCTATTTTGTGCGCAACTTGTGCACGTAATGATCGCAAATTGTACACAATTGCACGAAACTATTGCGTCATCGATCGTGTACGACTTTCTCACGCAACAACAATCGCGGTTGAAGTCAATGAAATTAACACTCTCAAGTTATCGAACGACGAAAATCAACGCGCTTTAAAAAACGTTTTCCTAATCAAGTTAATATTGATGCAAAAATTTGTATAAACTTTAGTTGGTTTCTATCGCAACACACAATAAACTTTTTTCGAAAATACAAAGTAGGTGGTATTTATAAAAATCTACGCGCGCACTTACGACATGCGATGGAAATTAAATTAATCGGACAAAATAAACCGATAGAAACCGCGCCTTTGTTACGACGCATCGTTGAGTTTGGCATTGTCATCGGTTTAATTTTGCTTCAGTACACAACAAAGTGCGCGAGTAATGAGTGTCGGTCTGCGACGCATGAATAATGAATGTCGATTTTGCAATGCAAAAGATTTTTTCAATGACAGTGACGAGTAAATATTTCTTCTGGTTAGTTTGACAGTTCGATTCCGTTCCCAATTGAGGTTCTCATAATAATTTTGTTTACTCACTCATCAAAACTGATGATGAGTCACGATGGCTTTACACTGTGTAAAGTATTTAAAATTATATTAAAAATTGAATTATACGAAATATAAGAGATGTAGAAAATGGAATCAAATAATCTGAATTTTTAATGAATTTATTAGTTTTTTCTAATAAATATTTTAAACAGAGATCAGATTTTTGTTGCTTGACAGTCTTTTCTCCCACAATCTTGCATCGCGATCTTTATGATTTCTATCAAGATTTACATATAATTATCACCGTCTAGGTACATATATTAAAACTACGAAGTAAAACTGAATAACCAATTTTAATAAATTACATTTAATAAATAACACTAAAGCGCGATGTTAGAAAAATACCGCTGAGGCCAAGTAAATCACAAAAGTTTTTTATTTACAAGAGATAACAATATCTCGCAAGACGTACGGTAAATGTGATTGTCGTTACTAACCTCAACTGATCCGTTCACCGTGCTTGTTGCTCGCAAGTTCGCGAGAAATGCGCGCGAAAACGGTACGCCGAAAATCGATAAGTTGAAAGAGGAGCGAGAACTCTCCAAACACGAAACACGCAGTTCCGCACGAAAAACTAGTGATGCCAATATTTCCCGCCAATGATTCGATTAGACGTGAGTGACATAACGTCGATAACGTGTAGTTGAATTTTCTGAGGTGGATTTACGTTGAATTGTGAAGTCGTGACAAATGTTCCTGTACGTATGAGTTCCTTGTCAAATGACGGCACGATACAATAGATAACATAAACAGCTACGACGCAAACGACCTCCCACGTAACTCTCGAGTTCAACCAAGTTCAACTGAATTGGACTGAAGTGATCGAAGTATGCTCTACCCTGCCGAGCGGCTCGCACTTCTCTCTCTTTCTCTCTGTCCTACTTTCGTCTTCTTCTCTTTTTATCTTTCGCTCCTCGTCTCTCTCTCTCTCTCTCTCTGCTCGTTTTCCACGCTACCATAATGACGCGCCGCGATGGCACGCATCACCAACAAGGGCGGTATACATGTACAAGCGATGACAAATGCGAGAGATGTTTCAAATTCTTTAGGAAAGGGACAGTTCAGGTTGAACGAAAATGAAGGATCTCTCTTCTCTCTCTCTTTGAGAGAACAAGAGATATATCCTGTCATACATCTGTAATATAATAATCCATAAAAATCTATACATAAATGTGCGCCAATAAGTTTCTTTTTAGTTCAAAATAATTGTTCTAGTACTCTACACAAATGGAATATTCTTCAGTTACCTTCATGTAATTTAATGTTACATGCGTGTGGCCTGTTTTACATATAGATAAAGAAGTTCTGTATTTTATAAATGTAGGTGGAAAATGCAAATTTTATTTAAAATATAAATAAAGATACCATTCTCATAAAAATACTCGATATATTTCACTACGTAATATATGTATGTTATATTTTACAAGCTTCGATTCTCTCTCCGTAGATAGGTAGATAGGTACCGGGCGCTTACCTCTTACTGCAGCACTGGTATGTTTGATGTTGGTGACCGAGGAAAATTCTATCTCCGCGCATGCGTTGGCGTATCGGAATCCGCGTTGAAACAATAATTTATTTGGCGGATAATTGCAATTAGCAAACAAACGTGCGTAGCGGTTGTTTTTTGTTTTTTTTTAGATATATGTATTGAATCTATTTACTTCGACTGTTACTTTTTGCACTGAAAACAAATAAAGCGAAAGAAGACATTTGTAGGACAACTAATATTTAGCAAAAAAATTCGCAACACGCGTAGAGAATTTTACACATTGTATTTTTAAATTTTTATATGCATATGTGTGTAATTTTATTTTTTTCCTAGATATTGTGACATTGGAAACAAATTTATATCTTATTATTATGTACAGAAATAATAATACTTTTCGGATGACATCGTTTTCTCGTAGATAACAGTCGCAATAAAGCAAATACAGCATATTATTGATAACAAGCTGCGCCGATCTCGACGGAGAAACTCTGTTCAGATGTCCCGATGTCTCGCAACGCCACGTCTAAGATAGGAAGTCTTGTGGGTTTATCCGTTTCGTATAAAAGAATTGTTTTATCCCACTGGCTCTGATGATGCTGCAAATTAACGAATATAAAGTAGAATCGTATAACGAGAGTATTAAAAAATATTTGATTTTCATGTATTGTGTTAAAATAAAGTATTACATAAATATACTTACGCTACATCCGTCAACTATCATCTCGTACTGAAAACGCTGATTGCCTCGAGGTGTTAGTTCAGCATCGTTCCAAGCCAAAAACTTCAGGCCTCTTCTGTACGTTTTCCGGTCGTAATCGAAGTAAGCGACGCTGTTCTTGCAATAATACGTGATATTCTGTTGCGCACTTTTCGAGAGCAGTTGCAGAAAACTGATCTGATTGCTGTCCGCTTTGTACGTAATCTGAACGCGCAATAGTAAATACTTTTACAAATATTTCAAAAATGTTTTTTTACATATAAAAATTTTTTAAGTACTTTTACATAAATGCTTATTCGAATTTTTCTGGAAATGTGTAACTACTGTTAAATATAAGATCGGATTATGAATATCGGCTTATGATACGTATGTAGAATATAAAAGCAACCTTCATGCCGCCATGAATCTCGCTCAGCCAAGTTTCTTGTTGCTCGGTTATATGAGTGATCTCCGGCGAACGCGAAGGATTCGGCAAAATACATGTTGCACGTTTTTCAGCATCGCAATATACCAAAATTGCGTCCCGAATGTCTCCTTCGTTTGGATCAATCCAATATTGCCCTGTCAATTACAATATTATAAATTTACACCATTTTCAATGTTTTAATCGTACTTTTTTTATATAAAACAATGTTGTGTATCAAAACTTACCAGATGATTTATCTGGATAGGCAACAAATAGATCTCGACAGGTTTTGGCTGGTGAATTTTTTTCACCATCGGGTTTTATCAATTTTTGGAAAGATAATTTAAGATTTTCATATGCTTTTGTAAGCAATTCTCTTCGTTCCTCTTCAGTGATATCTTTGCTAAATATTCTCGGGGGTTCGTCTCCGAGTGGATCTGGTCCTTTAGTTTGACCTTGTCCTTACATTATATAATAATTACATAATAAAACATAGAATACGATTATATTTTTATTAAAAAAAACAAGTATATATATAGTTTTTATTTTCAAGTAAAAAAATATAAATAGTGAATCATACCCATAAGTGCTGCTAAAGACGCAGCATCGTAAGCAAAACCAACATCTCCAGGAGGACCGGGTGGTCCTGGAGGTCCTGGAAGACCTGGCGATCCGTGGCGGCCTTCTTCTCCAGGTGGACCTCTCGATCCGGGATTTCCTGCAGGCCCTATAGGTCCTGGATTTCCGTCACGTCCAGGATTACCTCTGATACCTGGTTCTCCGTCTTTGCCAGGAGGTCCTTGAGGACCAGGTATACCTTTTTCTCCCGGTAAACCAGGAGATCCAGGTAATCCTTGTAAACCGGTAAATCCTCGATGTCCTTTAGCTCCTTGTTGTCCTTCCTGTCCCTTATCCCCTTTTCCGCCTTCAACACCCGGCAGACCAGGTTTTCCACGTGGCCCCTGAAATGTTCTAATGCTTGTAAAAATTGGAGAATAAAAAACAATTTATTCAAAAATGTAGTTAAAAAAACTATTTTTATACCTGTGGACCTTCGACACCCTGTGGTCCCGTTTCGCCTTTTAAACCACGTTCTCCAGTAGGACCAGTTGGTCCTGTAGGTCCAGGTGGTCCCTATCAAAAGCACATTAGACAAGTTATTGCTGACGTTAATCTAAATAATATTATTGTTGAAAAGAGTAAAAAATATCGTGAAGAGAAAAACGCACTTGCAATCCAGAAGGACCGGGCAGGCCTGTTGCACCAGGTGCTCCAGGTGGTCCCTTGTCTCCAGGTCGTCCTGCTATTCCAGGTGGTCCTGGTTTTCCAACTGATCCTTCTGGTCCCATTTCTCCTATAGGACCAGGAGGACCATGAGGACCTAATAACCCAGGAGGTCCAGGCGGACCTTCTGCTCCCGGTTTTCCAGGTTGTCCTGTTTCACCCTATAATAGTAATACATTTTTTTTTTTGTATAAAATTACGTGCAATAAAAATAATTACAGCATTTTACATAATAAATGCAAATATAATGCAGTTAAAAAATAATTATAAACAAAACATTTACGTATATAACGTTGTTTAAATATTTTTACTTACGGGTGCTCCGCGTAATCCTCTACTTCCTACAGGACCAGGAGAACCAGGCAAACCTGGCAAGCCTCTTTCGCCAGACGGCCCTGGAGTTCCTTGAGGACCAGTCGGTCCTTGAGGACCTGGAGATCCGGTTTCGCCTTTATTTCCGTCTATTCCAGGGAAACCGGGATTACCAATTGCACCTGGATTTCCAGGACGCCCGGTATCACCTGTACTGCCCTTAATACCAGGCAATCCTGAAGCGCCGGGTGGTCCCGCATTTCCTGGCGGGCCCTATACATTTTCACATTCTAGTCAATTTTCATTATTCAATCTCTGGTACTGCTTATCAAAGAATTTATTTTACATAATCTTACCGATGGGCCGACGTGTCCTGCAATACCCGGCGGTCCCATTAAGCCAGGTTCACCTCGCGCACCCGGTTCGCCCCGTGTTCCTTTAGCACCAGTAAGTCCGACAGGACCTGGTAACCCAACTTCGCCACGAATGCCTGTTAATCAATATAATGAAGGAAATTATTATTTATAAAGAAAGATTATATAAATACAACAATTTATAAATAATTATGCCAATTATCATTTTTAATTTTTTTATTACCAGGAAATCCCGGACTTCCTTGTTCTCCTTTTAAACCCGGATATCCGCGATCGCCTTTTAGTCCAGGAAGGCCAATTAACCCTTGTAGCCCTGGAAAACCCTGCAATCCCTGGATCCCTTGAACACCTCTCTCTCCTGAATTGCCGGGAGCTCCAGGCTCGCCAGCAGGTCCGGGTAAACCAGGATCACCTCGTTCCGCTGGTTCTCCAGGAGGACCAGAAGGTCCAACTTCTCCTTGTGGACCGCGATCTCCGACGTGTCCTTGAAATTTTAATATTGATTTTTTCTTAATGAGGTTTTAATGAAAATATATTGTGATTTCAATCAAAATAATAAAAAAATATTACCTATTGGACCTTCAGGACCAACTGGTCCAGGCGCACCCCTGTCTCCTTTTGATCCTGGTTCTCCAGGTAATCCTCTCGCACCTGGAAGTCCTAATAATCCCGGTGAACCTGAATTTCCTTTGTCTCCTTTAGATCCTGGTAAACCCTAACATAAATGTACAATAAAATAGAGAATCTTTTTTTTTAAATGTTATATTCATTATTTATTATAACTTTGAAAATGCTCTTGCACGTGTATAATTCAAACATTGTTAGATAACATCTTACAATAAGACCATCAGCTCCCTGCGCTCCAGATTCTCCTCTCGGACCCACAGGTCCTGGAGATCCCATAAGTCCTCTCTCTCCTGGAAACCCTCGCTCGCCTCTGTTGCCAACTGGTCCCGGTGGGCCAGGAGATCCTTGCACTCCAGGTTCTCCATCCTTGCCTGGAATACCTGGATTACCAGCGGTGCCTGGAAGACCCTGGAATACAAAAAAAAAATGCGTGTTTTGTAAATACGTTAAGCTATATCTGTAAGAACACAACTATGTCATTACACTGCGTACTTGAAAACCTCTGATTCCAGCAGGACCTGGAGGACCTCGTTCGCCATTGTTGCCCGGAGGTCCCGGTGGACCTTGTATTCCCGGAGATCCTTCCTTACCAGTATCTCCTCTTGGACCATGAGGTCCTGGATTTCCAGGTTCACCATCTTTTCCAAATTCTCCCTGAAAACATACAATGTAAAAAAGATATATAATTCGACAGTTACAGAATTAAAACAATATTAGTGTTTTTTTTACAGATAGCAATGGTAATTTACGAGAAATCAACATTTAATTACGGGAGGGCCTCTTTCTCCTGGTTGTCCTAGTGGTCCCGGCAAACCCTGTACTCCAGGCGGACCTTGTTCTCCAGGCTTACCATCTGCACCAGGAATTCCACGTTCGCCAGGATTGCCCGGTTTTCCAGGAGCTCCGGGCCTACCTGTTGAACCACGTATACCCTGAAATTTATACAGTACATTACACGTTTCTAAACTCGAGTTTTTACGGAATATAATGATAAAATGTTTGAACAAACTTGTAATCCTGGTGATCCAGGTCGTCCAAGATCTCCAGTAGCACCCTTTGGCCCAACAGCTCCGGGAGAACCACGATCGCCGGGTGGTCCTTACACAAGTATTCACAATTAGTTATATAATTACTATTTATCATATCACACTTTGAAAAAGTAAGAAATTCTCATAAATTGTACCCTGCGGTCCGATAGGACCATCTGCTCCAGGAAGACCTCGCACTCCAGATGGGCCGCGTTCACCAGGTGATCCTGTAGCGCCTGGTGGCCCGCGTATCCCTCTTTTGCCTCTTTTGCCTTCGTTACCAGGAGGTCCTGGAACTCCACGTGGACCAGGCATTCCTGCATCTCCCTTTACACCGGAATCACCTTTAGAACCCCTCTCACCAGGAAGACCCTGTAAAAAAATTAATCAAAATTATTTTTAATTAAAAACATAAATTATTTTACACAGTATTTAAACGATGCTCATTTTCCTTACGGGTGCTCCTTTGACCCCAGGAATACCAGGATTGCCTGGTACGCCAGGTTGACCTCGAGCACCTGGAAATCCGGGCGTACCGACTAATCCTGGCAAACCGATAGCTCCTTTTTCACCAGGAGCTCCGTCTTTCCCTTGAGGACCCTGCGGACCTGTTTCACCAGGTTGTCCTGGACGGCCACTTTCACCTTTATTTAAAAAATGTTGCTTTTAATATCACTTATTATAATAAATATTATAACTAATATTCGTTTTAAAAAGCTTAAAAGAAACCAATAAAATTTTGTTATTATTATATTTGATTGACATTAAAATACTTTACCTCGCGGTCCTTGCAATCCCTGACTTCCTGGTGGTCCTTGCACTCCTTGATCGCCTTTAGATCCCGGAGTACCTGGAAAACCTGGTGCGCCAGGTTTGCCCGCAACACCCTATAATAAAATTATGAATTTTATATCTCTGTATCTTAAACTTCTGTATGACTTTTGAATAATTATCTTACTTACGGGTTGCCCAGGCGATCCGGCAATTCCGTCGAGACCTCTCAATCCAGAAGGTCCCGGTGGACCTTCTCTTCCTCTTTCACCGCGCGGTCCTGCTGGACCCTGTAAATAATTTAATTAATTTTTTTGAATTTTCGTTTTCTGAAATTGTTTTAAATTGTAAATTTTATATACAAAAGTGAATATTATTTGCATACTATTGATCCCATTTGACCCATTGGCCCTGGTGCGCCTGTAGATCCTTTCTCCCCAGAAGTTCCTTGTTCACCTTTTGCTCCATCAAGACCTGGATAACCACGATGGCCTTTCATCCCTGGAAGTCCAGGCATTCCTGGAGGACCACGTTGTCCCGCGGGTCCTGGTGATCCCGGAGCACCGGTTTCACCATCTTCTCCAGCGGTGCCCTATCGTTCAAGTGAACATAAAGTATTTTATATTTACTTTGTTATATCATCTTTCTTGAAAAACGGTTTTTAATCTTACATCTTTTCCTGGCAGTCCTGCTAAACCTCTTGGACCTTGTTCGCCAGGTGGGCCTGGAGATCCCGGTTCGCCAGGTTCACCGCGTGCACCTTGAAAACCCTGAGGACCAGAAGGTCCAGGTGGACCTAAAAAAGTTGAGATAATTTATAACATGTAATTGCGCAACAAAACAAAATTAAAATAGCACGTACTTTTAAATAAAATTAAGTTGGATTCGATTACAAAAAAACTATTGTAAAATTATCTGTCGCATACCCGGAGGACCTCGCGGACCCGTTGGACCTATCTGAGCATTCATATAAGCAAATGCTTCCGGTCCATACAGTGGCGCAGCTGCACCTGTCGGTCCTTTATCTTGATTTGCTTGAGACAAAGCTAATTGTTGATAATACATAGATACCTGTTGTTAGAGAAGAATATTGGAAACGCTGCATATATAAAAAAGTTTTATAAAAAATTGTTCATATATTTTACGTTAAAAAATGTCTTACATCAGGTACTGGTCCTGGAGGCCCAGGTGGTCCTGGAATTCCAGGAGTTCCAGGTTGTCCGGGAAATCCTGAGTCACCCGGGCGGCCAATATCTCCAGGTCGACCAGGTTCTCCCTTATTATTACATTATTTTTTTAATCATTGTTTTATCTACGTTTTCAGAAAATTATTAAAATTAATTATAATCAAACTGTCACTTACTCGTAGACCAGGAAAAGCTATAGAACCGTATAGATTACTTTCACCTGGCAAAATTTCGGTAGATAATGCCTGAAGATGTGATACAAAAAAAATTATATAATAATTATATTTTTATAAAATAAAATTTTTTAAGTTTTATCCAACACTTACTTCCGGTATAGATGTGACATTAGTTTGTGGAACCAAATCTGGAATGTAATTAAACACATTCGAAAACAAGTCTCTTTTTATATATGTTTTTAAAGAAAACAAAAAGATGTTTTGTTTATCACTCACTATCATAAGATCGAGTCGTGAGAACTGAGTCTGTAGATGCTTCCGGTTTGTACGAGGATGCTGTACTTTCTATTGGTAATTCCGACCATCCTATGTTCAATAATTTTATAGTCATATTGTTATTTACATATTATCTTTGTAACAAATTGTATCTCATCCGTATGCTTACCCGGGTGTCGTGTGCTTGACTGTGTAACAGACGATGACGGCGTTGTCGTCTCTATAGACAAATTTGCTATTTTTATCATCATTAATTATCGGAAAAACTGAAAATATTATTTGTAAAAATATTATTTATAAAATGTGTTTCACACATTTTCAGAAAACAATTGGGAGATAAAGCAGAAGAGGAAGAGGAAACCGGAAACTGTTTTCAATTACGCGTCATACTAAATCATATCCGCAGTTAACAGGCTGAAATAAATAGGTTTAATTGCGTTACTCTGATTAAAACGAGCAATTAATTTTTTTCTGTATAGTGTCTTAACGAGAGTGATCTCTGTCATAAGACTTCCGTGTTTGTTGCGCAACTCTTTTTGACTTAGTTGCTTGTTACATGTGGATGTTTTATTTATGCACGATAACAGTTTACAACAAAATCGACCAAAACTCTTTATGACACTCTAATATTTTAAGTTTTATATTATGTTAAAATATTTTTTATATAAGATAATTTTATATTTTGTATGTGTTTAGCTAATTTAAGAAATTAACTCACCATTCTTTTCATCGTACTCGTCATAATTCTCGTAGTTGTATTCATAATCGTATTCGTTGCCAGCTTGGTGCGTCTGGTCTTCGAGTCTGGATCGTTGCTTCCTCGGTCGATTTCTCACGGCGCTCACCTGATCCAGCAGCAGTAGCACTTGGGTTACGAGAAGTATCGCGATCAGCGCCCGTCGTTTCATTGAGAAAAGTTTTCTTTTGTGCGGCAGGATCGAAACAACCGATTTCCCCCAGTGCAAACCAGGTAGTTTCCTAGGACCGACTTGCTTCCATCGGGAAGCTGGAAGCAACTAAACACGATAACCGACGTGTATCATCTATTTAGCAGATGCTCCATATGATGCAAGGGAGGTCATCATCCTCCGTTTTACGAGACGATGCTCTTGTCGTCTTATTCCGCAACTACCCCCTCGTGTCTCTCTCCTTTGTTCCCTTTCCTTAAGTCTTCTCGCACTTCTTCGTTTCCTTCCTCATTTATTCTTGTTGATTAATGATTTATTTGGAATAGGAAGAGAAGACGGAGAAAATAAATCCAATTGCCTGATACTATGAACAAATTAATTGAAAGGATATTTGTAATAAGAAAAAATTGAAATTACAATTCTTTGTGCACTCTTACTTTTTTTTCAGCACTATCCACAGTTTCTAATAAAGTTGTATGTGACAAATTTGAATGTATCTTCGAAGTTCTTGTTAATAGTGCCACGGGCATGCATTCATGGAAATTTATGAGAGATTGTGTCAATGTTGTCAGCGTAGAATCATTATTCCGCGTATTGTCAGAAGCGGTGCGATGTGGCACAATGGAGGTCATCACCTCACATTTAAGGGTTGCACGCGACATGAGACACGACATCGTTCTCTTTACACATACATTTTTTTTTTAAATCAGAAACAAACGTTTTCCGCGTAAAGTATCAGAGATGTTCGAAATGTTCATTGAACGTCTTATGCGTCAAATACGCCGATTTATTGAAATGCAATTCGCAACGACCTACTTCGCACAAACGCTTTATTTATTTTTATTAGTTAGCGTACTCGATACCAAGATATGTTGATGGCCGTTTCTACTTAATGAAGTTTATTAAACGACAATCATCATTTTGGCCGCATTCCCCAAGTGTGTGGCTTACTTTCCGAGGCGTTTAGTCGCAATAGACTGCATTGACCCGCGTCTCCTTCGTTCGTTACTAGCGACTATAAATCAGAGTTGCAACTATGTTTAATGCAAGTAACCGGGACACATGCAGCCGGCACAGTTTTATCGCTTAACCACATTGACATTTGATTAACATTTTTGCATATACTTCTTTCGAGTTGATTTTATAATGGTTCAAGATAAAGATGTAAAATGTGTCTTGTAAAAGATAAAAAAAAAAAGATAAAATTCAATCTTATCAATAACTCATACAAAAGTATAACAAATTGATTACAGATTAAAAATTGTTTCCTACAGTCAACACTTATTTTTCTTTACAATCTTAGTTATGTTATTTTTATCTTTCATCGTCATAGTTAAAATGAACGCGCCAGAGATGGAAACCACCGATCTGGGTATGACCGTTGCACTAATGTAATCAGGTTGTTAGTCATAATTGTTCTAAATATTTGTGGTCTTTCGTATACGCAAACATTTCCATCCCAGAGACAAACATGCAAATGCTCTGATATACTTTATTATATCTTATACAAATCAAAGATAAAAAAAACACATAAATTACTATAAATTATCTAATTATGAGTATTACATTTCTTAGATATGGCAATTAGACGTGTTCCACATGTGAATCAATTTATAAAATAAATATAAATAACTAAATTGACAAAAGTAAAATGCTTAACGAGCTTGTTACATATAATTTATCATCAAATAAAATAAATATATTAATAAATATTTATAACAATGTTACGTCAATTATCCTTGAAAATAAAAAGCGTATCATTTACTCTTTCAATAATATTATTTATATAGTAATACTTTTTATAAGTTTGGATCACTTTTCACTTTTTATAATCATTCAATAAAATGGCAAATACTTTGCTTTCCGGCTCTGTCGTGTGCTAAAATCAAAAGTAAACATAAAAAATCGTGAAAAATTATAAAATATAAATTAAAAATTTATGTCAACTCACTCCAGTAGTAATTCCTACAAGTGCGTCGACTGATCTGTATAATCGATTTTTTAAAGTTATTACGATAAATTTCATATCATTTTCGTGAGATCGAATAAAAGAAACAATGCTCTTAACATTTGTTTTGTCTAATGCTGCGTCGCTTTCGTCCATAAAAACGAAAGATGTTGGCTTGTAACTATGAATGGAAAGTATTGTGTAAATTTGACACAAAAAATTAACAAAGAAAATCGCAGATTTAACAATAAAAATAAACGTACCGCTGAAAAGCGAAGAGCAGTGCCAAGCTGGCGAGCACTTTTTCTCCGCCAGAGAAATTCTGCAATGGCTGAAAGTGTTTGAATGGCGCTTTGTAACTGCACATTATACCATCCAGATACGGTTCTTCAGGATTGTCCGGCAAGACAAACGCTTGCGCTGATCGATTATTGACTAAAATCTGCATAGAAAACGAAATAAAATACCGAGGTGCATTAGGTGTACATAAAAACTAGAACAGTTGATTAAGTGACAAGAAGAACTAAGTAAATAAATACAAACTTTATATATGGAATCTATTTCCGCACAAACTTTCTCGAGACAATTCAAAAATTGCATACATCTTTTTTTCTTTACAATTTCGAATTCTGAATTTATTTTAACATATTTTTTGCGCATCCTGGGTAGTTCCGCGGTTAGCTCTTTCAATTTTTGCACCAACGAATCCATTTTGTCGTGAGCCTATATAATATTGATTCATATGTTTGCGAAATGTTTGTTCAAAGAAATTAAATAGTTACTATAACATATTGTGTACTTGTGTCAAATAATGTATTAACCTTAAGATTCGGATTTTCTATGGTTTCAAATTGTTCCTGAATCTCTGCAAGTTTTTCATTGAGTTTGTTAACGGTGTTTCGCAAATCTTGCTCCGAACTATTGAGCATCTCTTCAGGCAATTGTGAAAAATCAATTTGCATTAACGTATCCCAATTAAGTGATGATGAGGTGCTGAAAGATTCTTGAAATAATTCCGGCAATTGTCGAATAATAATATCTTCTATCTGTGAAAATAACGTATGTTAAAAATGGTGAAATTAAAACTGCCTAAAAAAATACGCGTCTTTTAGATACACGAGTTATCTGAAAAGTTTCTGAAATCGATGTTTTTCAGAAATTCGCGTACCTTACACTCTGTAAGTATAGAATTGCATTCTATCTTTCTCTGATTTCGTTTTCTTTGTATATCTATATATATCTTCTGAAGACTTGACAAATCTGACTTTGTAATAATTTCAATTTGCGACTTGTATTGAGCCAGTTCTTTTTCCACGTCTCTTATATTCTTCTGTATGGCTGTGTAATTGTTTTTCAATTCCAACAAATTTGTTTCTTGCTCCTCGATAGCGATTCTTGCGGTATTTTCTTCAGAATGTAACTTGTCTAACTCTGCATTAGCTTTTTCTGCAGCGTGTTTCCATCGCAAAATTTTACTTTTTGTATCACGTTCATTTTCAAAACGCAATTGATTCTCGATACAATCTTTCTGCTTTTCTAGTTCCATTTGTGCGTTGTTTTGCTCTTTATAATATCGCAAATTATTTTTCTCGTAATAGTCGATATCGGGCACGTCAATATCTCTACAAAAATCAGCAAAGACTTCGTTTTCAATTAAACGAACACGTTTCTGCAACTCGCCAATTTGTTCATCTTTTTCTTGAATAGAACGTTCGATTTCCGAGTTTGTCGCCTAAACATTATTATTTCAATAACACATAAAAGTAAAAATATTTTGCAAAAAATACATATGGATGTACGTACATTTAACAAAGATAGTTCCTTATTTATTGTGCTTAATTCTTTACCCGTCGCAGAAATTTCTTCTTTCTACAAAAATAGAAAACAAAGCTCTTTAGACTATGTATTATTATAAGCGAATACGCGTTGTGTTCTCACTTACAAGATTTTTCAATTCTATCTCATTATACTTTTTTCTGAAAGTAAATCCTTTAATCTGTGCATCAATCTCATTTATTTCAGATTTTTTAAGAGGAAGTTTAGACAGTTTTCTGTGTTCTCGCATTAGTTCTTCCTAAAATTGCATATGTAACTCTTTTTCAAAACTTACAAAAATTTACAAACAATTTTGTACAATAAAAATGTAAAAATTTTTCTTGTGTGTGTTGTGTAGAAGATCCTTTTCTTCAAACACTACCTTTCGTTCCTTTAATACAGTTATATCTTGCTCGGTCCATTTTTTTGCTTTTGCAACTAAATTGACTTGTCCGCCACTGAACAACCCAGTCTTACGATAATAACATCCATCTAATGAGACACACTAAATAACATAATATAGAAAAATATTCTATAAATATATAAATACATATTATAAGAAAAGTATTTCTAAAATTATTATTAATTATTATTGTTACATCAAAGTTTTGCTTATGACTTTCGTATGCCATTTGTCTTGCATCATCTGCAGTCTCGCAAACCAACGTATTTCTCGTAACAAACAAAACTGCTCTGTTTATTTCCGAAGATGAAATATTCAACACATCGTACAGTAACTTGACATTGGGCGGTTCTCTTATGGCACTACACAAAGTTGTTACAATTTATTAAAAGGAATAATATAACTTTTTTCTTTATAACTTGACTTACCGCAACGTTTCCTTTAAAGGTTCTATTTTTAACGAATCGTCAAGCGGTAAAAATATTTCAACTCCCATTTTATTGCGTTTTAAAAAATGAATGCATTTCTGTGCCGTAGACACAGTATCAACGACGATGGCGTCCATATACTTGCCAAAAACTTTAGTTACGGCGATATCATAACGCTCATGAATAGGTTTGCATAACTTACATAATCGTCCATACTAAGTGCGCAAAAAAATGTAGGACAATGTTTTATATAAAAAACAATAGCTACTATGTATCAAAATAATAGAACAAATAATTGTTTAAAATCTAATCTATGATAGGTAGTTTATAGTTAATGCATAATTATAAAAGAATAAATGTAAAATAATAAAAATACCACGCCGGGAGAGAAGTGCTCCTTTAACATGTGAAGTATTTCGGCATTTTTATTCCTTTGTGAAAGAATATGATTGTCTATTTTTCTTTCACAAATCTCCTTCTCGAGCTTTGCGCATTCAGTCTCCAAAACTAACAATCTGCTCTCTTCGTCAGTAATCTCGTCGCTCAACTTCTGTTTTTTTTCCGTACTTTCTATTAATTTTGATGCATATTCTTTATTCAAGCAATGCAGTTTTTGAAAACACTTTTCGATATCTTCTTTTTTAAATGTTATCCGCTTTAATTTATCCTCTAATTCCTGCTTGCGCCTATTGTTATTGTCAAGTTTGTCTTGACACGTTTGCTGATCACGTTTCAAATTGCTTATTGTCGCCGTGAAATCACTCGCTAAACCGTCCGTTCTACTTCTCAGATCCATGTAACGATTTATTTGAGAATTGCTGAGGCTTACAGAACTCTCCTGCGACGCTTCTTCCAAAGCTGCCAATTTGTTATTTATGACTTGTAATTCCTCTTTTAATTCCCGTAGGATTTTCTTATGAGATTCGTGCGCTTTACTCGCGTTATTCAGAGATTCGTGAGCGCAATCACGCTTCTTCTCCCAATACGAGATTTTTTCTTTAAAAACTTTACATTCCATATTTTTCTTTTGAATAACATTCTCTAATTTCAGAATATTTTGTTCAGCAGATTCGAGAGAATTGAACAATGACTTCAACTGCAACTCCTTTTGTCGCGATAAACGCAGTGCGTTTTCTTTGTCACGTAAACACTTTTCTATCTGTGATTTAATTTCTCTTTGTTCATCTTGCGAAGTTTCTTCTGCCTTCTTAATGAGTAATAATCGAATTGTTTGAAGTTCCGATTTTTCTTTCATCTGTAATTTTTTTAACAAATAAATCACAATCGAGTGCCAATTTTAACAAATTAAAGATATTGACAAGAATGTTTTGAATTTTTTAAGAGAGATCAACGTACATATTCTTCTTGTAAACGTAAATATTCTTCCGCTTCTTCTTTCTCTTCCTTAGTATATTTTATTTGTTTCAGTAGCTGCCTTTTCTTTTCACGTGTAGCTTGTATCCCGTTTGTCACATTGAGAAGTTCGGATTTCGATCTACCGTAAAAAATACGCATATATCGAAAAACGTTTGTTAAATACTCATTACACTTTAGCGTTACAAAAAATTAATATTTATCGCTTAACTAACATACTTGTCGTAATCTGCTTTGAATGCAATTGAACCGCTAAGTTTTTCAAACAGCACAGTTCGTTCTTTCGGTGTTTGTATCGCTACATTTTCAACGTGCTCTTGAGGTATTAAAAAATTCCCTAATTCTATGTTCAATCCAAGCTTGTTCAATTCATTCTTATAAAATTCAACATCAACAATCTGCTTGAGATAAGAAAGACAATATAGCAGTCGATTAAAATAATATACGTGTAAATATAAAAAGTGAAATATTTTTAATGTTACAAACAGTTGAGTGAAAAATTCGACCTTGTTATTTATTCTGTGTTGAATGCCTTTGTTAACTATCATTCTCGCGAAGCTTTTTTCCGTATTTTTATCCAATGAGAAGATTAATGTCACACAAGTACTGCAACACATAAATCAAATATCAAATTACTAAGTATTGTCAATTAAAAAATATATAAATTTTTATTTTACACATATACACCTGTCCGTTGTTGGTTTTCCGAAAGATGCTCCGTAAACGAGATCACTGTGACGCTTAATGCGCAAATTACTCGACTTCTCTCCGAGAGCAAATCGAACGGCATCCAAGATATTTGATTTTCCTGAAGACAAACACGTCGATGTTGAAATGCATCAAACGTCCACATTGAATTAACGCGTATAAAACACGAGAGAAAAAATAAAAAATGTATTTCGGCATAATAACGCTAGACCGATCTACAAAGTAGCGATTTGAATTTCGTCGCTTAATTTTCGGAATAAGAGTAAAATGTAGGTTTCCTAGAGCGCAATAAAACAATCTTACCGGATCCATTTGGACCGATGATTGCCGTGAACGTTCTGATGGGTCCGATCGTAATTCTTCCTCTGTACGATTTGAAATTTTCGATTTCGATGATTTTCAAAGAAACAGCCATATCGCTGCCGAGAAGCGTTCGCTTTTGAATAACAATGGCCACGTTCGGCGAAACAGTTGCTGAGCGCGTCGTTTTGTCACATTCGACGATGATTCGTAGTCGGTCAATAAGAGCCAATCACATTCGACCGCAACTTTCTGCTGAACGCGACCAATATTAGGCCCGAATCCACAATTATCGCTTCTGTCACAAGTGTGAAACTCGCGAAACTAACCAATCGCGTTGCTCGATAGACTACTGCGATTGGTCGATTTCGCAAGTTCACTGAGAATGAGAAACAGAAGAACGGAAACTCTCATACACAGATACCATGCGCAACCGATAGATGGCGCATGTTGTTTCTTTATCGCGCTTGAGAATCATTTTGATGGCCGGCTCGTTGTTGTGACATCGTCGTTACTTTTGCTTCGTTTAATTCGTATAATTTTGCTTTCAAAGTGTCAAAAACAAGAATCAACATGTAGACGAAGTGGTATATAATGACCTACAACATATTATTTATTGAATGTTATATTTCTCGTTAAGATAATCATCAAATATGGTTACTATTGGTGAGTGTTTGTTTTTGTGATAATTTCGCGCTTATTCTTTATGATCGAGAAACAAATAAAAATTATGATGCGTCAAACTTTATAATTATATTGCTTCTGTGGTTGCATTTCAGAATCTGTGATATATTTATGCCTTGTGGCGCTCCTCTGGGGAGTAACCGTTCCATTTATAAAAAAAGGTGCGCAAGGCTTAGAGGATGTCAAGGCCACATCTATTTATGGACAATTTATTAAGGAACTCGTATTTCTTCTGACTAGTTTAAGGGTATGTTTTATACTGATACTAGAAATGATGTTAATAAAACTTTTTCTACGATTGCAAGTAAACAAACTCATTGCAAGCATAATTTGTTGTGTTTAATAGATATTATTTTTTTTGCAGTACGCTGTACCATTTTTTTTTAACCAATGTGGTTCGGTATTGTACTTTCTAACTCTGCAAAACACTGATATATCTTTGGCTGTGCCAGTTTCAAATTCTCTCAGCTTTGTGTTCACTGCTATCACTGGCTGGTTTCTGGGAGAGAAAAAAGTACAGAGAAGTGAGTATGTGTGTGTGATATTATTTTTGTGCTTTTCCACAAATTTATGTTGTAATGAAAATTTAACTTCTTTATTCAATCTGTTTTCAGATGAATATCTGGGAATGATGCTAGTGCTGTGCGGAACAATGTTGTGCTGTTGGGATAAACTGAATAAAACTGTAGACCTGTAACTGTGACTTGCACATTTAAGACAACAATTTTGTTAAACACCTATCACCTCACATCCTTCCACTTCCTGTTCATCCTCAACCTGGTGATTAATCCATATCCACTTCCTGCTTATCTTCCAATGTGAGTATTACAATGATTAACACACACACACATATATATATATATATATCTTTCCCAGCAAAGCAAAAGTACAATATACAAGTTTGCTTGTGAATATAAATGTAATATAATGACAGTTTGTTATTCATGTTTGATATATTTTATCGTACATTTAAAAAGAGATGATCTAATATGTTAACAAATGTACGTAGATAATAAGTTTTATTGGTAATTCCGTACAATGTGATCAATACATATCTATGTGATATTTACATGCAAATTGTATAATGATTCATATGTACACACACGTAAGTAGCAACACGGAATAGAAATGAAATAGTCGTAGTTCTGGTGCAAGGTGACTATTCATGTCGCCGTAGTTAATTTAACTCTTTGTTCACACGCAAGAAAGCGTATCACAGTATAACAGATAATATTTAGAATCGTGTATTTTTTGTTTCTTTTTTGTTTTTTACATGTTTGTTTGTTACGAGATTTGCGGAAACGTATCTCGATCACAATTGTGTGAGAAGCTCATAACAATGCAATATGTGATTCATAACTGTACAGCGACAAGAGTTTTGTGTATACATATATACGAAAACACGACAGGTTTTCTAGTAAAAAGATTATTAACACAAATATTTATGTACAACAAGCATGCAGAAGTGAGAATGATCTATGCACAGAAAAATTATGATTATTGTTATTATACGTAACTTGTGCTCTCGCGGTTTTTTTTTTTTATTTATACGTTTCTTAATTATTGGGATAAAATTTGAAAACTTATTTCTTTTTTTTTTTATCTTATTACACTAACGCTTATCGCACAGATGGGTGTTATTTGTTTGTTAGAGAATACTCGCAAATTTTGATTAACGAAGAGGATTTATATACATATGTATCTCCGATACAAAAACTTCAAATGAAATTTGCGCCGCGTTATCTGAAGTTTTCGTAATGTGTATGCACTGTAAAAGTAATATCAAAATGGCGATGGCACTCTGATTCACGGTAGAGTGAAGTAAAATGTGTTAATTTAGATCTATAAAAACATCGAACACCCCCGGTAAGTATTTTTCCCTTGAATCCGTGAAAAGATTCGAAAGTTAACAACAATAAAGTGTTAATTCGCGTGAATTACGTTACACAACGCGTTCTCGTCATGCGCCACAAATTTAATCCGTTAAATTTGGCAGAGAGAAGGCTATTAAGATAAATGCAGAGAGGATTCATGTGTATATTCAATGAGAGAAGATTCTCATTATAAGATACACAAGAATCATATATTTGAATTTAAATGTCAAAAATTTTATATTGGAGATTTTTTTTTCTTTTATCAATCTTGTTACAATATATGTGTACGTAGATATGTTATTTATTCAATACGCAAGATATAAATTGTCGAGCAACTTAGATTTGAAGCTTCTTCGTGTGTGTGTGGTGTGTGTGTGTCTGTGTGCCTGTGTGCATTTGAATGTTTTATTCTCTGTTACGTACGTGATGTATATGTATAATACGTGACGAATTGTCGCGTCTCGCACAGAAATTTCGCGAGCAAAATCAATCAATATGTTAACAGCAATTAATTTACAAATCCTATCGTTGTCGCAAGTAAATGGTACGCTCGGTTAAAGAAATTAAAGAGATTTTTGCGCGATCGACACTCGCGCAGAGCGTGTGCATTAAAAATTGATATAAGAGCGGTGTATATATATATCGATAAATCGCGTCGTTATTAATTAGCACGGCGCCGAAAAAAAAAACGACGTCTATTAATCACCTACGAGAATTACGAATTACATTAAATGAAACTCGAGACTAGCATTGATCAATGGCCGCCTGATTCAGGCGCGGGACTTCTTGCTCTTCAGCTTGAACCATCCTGCGCTCTTGTTCGGATCGCGTGGAACAGACGTAGATCTGTTCAAATCGAGTTTCGAACCCCGCGATTTGGTGGCCAGCGATTCCGTGGAGACGGTCCTGTCAACTTTTTGCTTGTCTTTCGATTTCAGTGTGCTGCGGTTAATCGTACCTACACATAAATATGTTTTTATTTATATACGTACGTTATATAGATTCTTAAGTACTCATAATATACATATCAATGTGTTAACGAGATCATTTACTTGTTTTGGATAGATTATCCTTGCTTCGCCGAGCCTCCTTTCCTCGGCGACTGAGCGTCTCGCGACTTCGTTGTCTGCGTCTCATGGTCGCAATCGGTTTCGCGTGTTGCTGCTGATCGTAGTTGATCTCGAACGGTTCCCTGTAGTGTCGCGGTTTCCACGGCGCAAGGACGCTCACGCTCCTCGACACCGTTCTCGTGTGCGATTGCAACGGTCGATTTAACTCCTCGCGACTCGCCGCCCGGCGTCTCTCGTTCGGGCCCGGTATTTCGCCAACTGGAATGCAGATATCGGTAGAAGTCGCAATTAGATCGCGGTTACGCTTCACGACACTTTCCGTACTTTCACCGTTTCGAGCGCTGGTTCAGTTCGTTATTTTTAAATTACTTTAAACCAATCGAGCAGATATGATTTTTCTTACATCGTCTCCTGTGACGCAAATCCAACGTGCAATATTGCGATATTTCCAACATTTTCTATAAAACCGTATATTGCTCGTGCGGTCATAAACGTTTCCGACAAGTGTAATTTTTGAATAGAAGAATACAAGGATGATATCTTACCTGTAGCAGCGTGGAGATACACAACAGATCTCTGCGATCTTTGAGAGTTTTGACTTTGCTGACTGCTGTCGCCCGTTGTGCTCTCACCCGAGGACAGCGCGCTTTCAGCGAGTCTCGATTTCCTCGGGGCCGATATGATACCCAAATTATGACGATTCGTGTTCACATCACGTCTCGAGCAGGCGTGGTCGTCAACTCGTTTGTTTCTGAAAATAAATTTAAATTTTTGTTCTCGTCTCTGTCTCACACAACCGGGGCGGCCTCACTTTTTTCGTTCAGATCGAAATAACAAGTAAAAAAAAAAAATTATCTTAAAAAGCGAAGAACAAAAATTGTTAATGAACACAAAGAGTATCAAGTCATTTAGGCCTTTAGCACGTACATTTAAATTGCTCTTGCGCAAAATGCGTAACCGACGACGCGTAGCGACCGCACATTTTGTATCATATAGAATTTACCTTCGGTCTCTGTTGGACGAGACGGACTCCTGATCCGTATCGCCGAAGAAGCGGAGATTCTTTTGCACGGAAACTCGTTCGGGCGCGGAGGAAGCTTCCTCATCTTCGGTACCGGTCGTCAAGATCTCGCTCTCGGGTATTCTCGGCTTTTTATCCACCGACTGTGCAAAGTTATCGACGCTTCATTATTCATGATCTCGGAAGGGTAGGGAGGGGGACACACCAAATATAGCCGCTCGCAGATTATTTCTACGCGTACAACAATTACGCCCGCTTATTCCAAATATCGATTTATCGAACGTTATAATTTCGCGCACAGAAGACGGATTTTGCAAGTGCGATAGATTGAAACGTATCGCTGTAATGATATATTATTCCGCGGTACTGTGTAATCTTCATAGCTAAGCATGTACTCGGCTTCAATTTTCCGAGTTTTAAGGGCGGTTGCGCCGGCGGTTCCGATGAATTTTGACTACAGCTTCTCTAATACTTCGTGAAATCTAATGCGCACATAATGTTTTTCATATATTTTTCAACTGTTTTGAAAACTGTTTGAAATTTTATTTTTATCTGTTTGTTTTTTTTTAACTATCTTGCAATGTTTATTTATCACATATAGAGCACGACAGAAGGGGAACGCGTAAATCTTGCTCCTCTTTGTTAATTGTTCCAAGTTAGTTTTGCGGACATAACCGACCTCCGTCGATCGGTCGCGGCGCGGCGCGAGAATTTTTTCAACTCCCGTCTCCCGATCGGCCGGGAGAAAATCGCGCACGAGCGCGTACAAAGCCGTATTCTTCCCGCAGTTCGCAAAAATCGCGGCCTCCCCCCGTGGTTACATCGCACGGCGCCTTCATGAGTCATGATTCTCCCCGGGCCGACTCATCCGATAGATCATCGTCCACGGCGAGATTCATACGCACGCAATCATCTCGAACGAGCGAGCGAGCGAGCGAGCGAGCAAGCGCATCGGCCGGCGCGCGGCTTTACCGAATGCGCGCGAGAAGAGAGAGAGATAGAAAGAAAGAGCACGACGCGTCTCTCCTCTCCGCTGGCTGAGATCGGCGGAGAATCGGGACCTGACAGAGATTATTCTCTCCCGCGCGAGTGCGCGGACGATGGTCGGCTTACAGGACTAGGCGAGCAACCTCCTGATCGGCACTTAATCTCGCGATTAAATTAAACCACAGAGCGCGGAGTTAGTTAAGCATTTAATCAAACCGGTAATTGGAGGTTGCGCTGCCCTAATGGCTCCGCGCAGCGACCCGCGCGCTCTGACTGATGAATGCGCACCGGCTTGGTGCGCGCGAGAGATAACCACGGCACGATCTCGGAGAGTCCGCTCGTTATCGGATAATACCTTCGAAAAAGATCCTACGTTTTTCCGAACGATGATTTGCCACAGGTTTTTCCCCAACGACGTCGATATCGAATACGGATGTCGCACGTGATTCCGTGCCGATTTTCGGAGAAGAAACGCTCAAATTCGCGCTTTCGAGAATCGCTCAAAAATTCGCGTTTGTGGAAAATAAACCGAAACGTTTTCGAAGAACATTGACAAAAACTTGAAAAGCAAATTTCCAGCAGCATACATGAAGCAGACGTTTACCGTGGAGTTGGATTTGTTCTTCCTCGAGAGAGACTTGAACCAGCCCTTTCTCTCCGCCTCCTGGCTCTGATTGTCCCTGGTCAGAGTGTTGCTGGACTCGCAGAAGGACTCTTCCTCTCTGGTGAGAGTACCGGTGGATCTCGAGAGTCTGGTCGGTCTGGGAGGACTCGGACTGCCGCTGGGCGTTGATAAGCGCCTGCGTTGACTGTAGTCCTCCTGTCCGGAAAAAACAAAAAAAAAAACGCACGCGTTACATACAACGACTCAGCGTCTTCCGAAGTACTATCTTTATACACAACGCCATTATAAATTATCTCACTTTTCCGCCTTCTTTCCTCACCGAGCGCTTCGATTCACTTCGACGGATTCTGACAGCTCGTCTTTCCAATCGCTACCCGATTCTTACGGTAATTTGCAGCATGGGAATTAATTAAGCGGAGATTGATATCAAATTCTCTTTAATCGGCCATCGGTCTCGAGTGATCGCAATTCTAATCGCGAAACGAGGCGCGCGTTCGCATTGAGACTTTCTTGAGTCTTCGCTACCGCGAAGAAACATTTATGAAGAAACGTCTCATTGTCATTAGATTAGATTATCTCGCGGTTTGTATGTATCGCACAGACGAAGATTTCAATGACATTCAGAGTCCTTCCTTATTTTCCGCGCTGCGAAGCGCAAGTTGAACCGAAGATGCGTGTCACTCGCTAAACATCTTCGTTTATTCACGTTAACCGCTATTCCCAACTACGCACAACGCGATCGCGGCTTTTCATTCCGCTACTCTATTCACAAGATGTATTATGCATATATATATCGTAGGCGCGGCGGCAAGACGCAGACCTTGCGGGCCCCGCGGCCGCGACGGGTCCGCTTCGGGCCAGGAAAAACTCGCCCCCTCGAAGTGGTGGAGGACGCGCGTCCGAGTATGCAAGTAAACAGGCAGGCAGGCAGGCAGGCAGGCAGACGCGTGTCCGTTTCATTCCCGACGACGTCCACGTCGTCGTTATTATTATCATCGCGTTTTGCATCATCACCATCATCAGCGCTGCCACCTCCGTCATTTACTCTCGCTCTCGCGCATGCATAATGCGCGCCGGCGTGCCACGGCTCCGGGCGCTTATCACGACTCTCTCTCTCCCCTGTTTATTCATCGGTATTCCGGCAAAAGACCGCGCCGACGATCGTAATCGCCGAGGCCGCCGAGGCCGTTGCACGTAACGCGCGCACTCGGAAACAGCACAGGAAGTATCGCAGCCGCGCGTATCGCCTATAATCGGCATGTTAATCGCTGTGTAAGAGATCCATCGGCTCGATCGACGCGCGGATCACGCCTCAGTGAAAACGGGACACCGCGAGGAAATCTATCTCTTTCTCTCTCTCTCTCTCTTTCTCGACGCGCGATAACCTTTGTAATGGATATGAAGCGAATGTTCGGATATGCATTAATCTACATTTTGTACACGTATCGCGTTTTTTTTTCTAAATTATTTGAGCATTTTTTCGTAGTTCATTTTTCGCGCGGTTAATAATTTCTGGCAAGTAACGCGTGCGCACAGATGGTTCTCTTATTAATTTCATTTTTTGTGTTTTTATATAATACGCCGTGGCTTGTGTGCCATTCTATTTGATCATCGTTGCGGCAACAAAACCATCGGTTTTCTAAAGACGTTAGGTAAAATGACGTTAAGAAATGTTAAAAGGAACAGTCATATCTTATTATATACAACTATTATATATGTAATTTTTTTTTTTTTTTTGTACAGAGCCATTCTCGCCAGTCCCCTTCAACAGAATCGCGAATGGTAGTTATCGCAAATTTTTCTGATGGCAAAGGAACATCGCGCTTCCGATTCCGCGATTCGATTCTTGACGTTCCTCCGCCTAGAGCTTTCAATACGCAATATAATAACATATCACGCGCGCGACCGCGCACAGTACGTACCCGTACGTGCACGCACAAACTCTTAAATGACTTACAATGAATAGGCCATATCGCGGAATCATCTGCATAGTACAAGTACGGCCGCGCTTCCCCGGTATTCTCCATATATACGAGCAACAATATCCCGTGTGTGCTTTCCATAACGAGTCGCGGCGACGCGAGGACCACGAGGACGCGAGGAGGAGGTCGAGTGGTGCCGAGGACGTAGAAAAAGCTGGGACCCACTTGAGAGAAGGGGGAGAAAGGGCCCTAAGGGCATTGTGACCCACGCACCGCCCTGCTAACTCTTATACCGTCGACCTTCCTCTTCGTCGCGTTCTTTTCCTTCCTTCTCGTCCTCCGTTTACTCCTCCGCTTCGTCTCCTCTCTTCGTCTCTTCAATCTCTTTCTTCTTCTTCTTCTTCTTCTTCTTCTTCTTCTTCTTCTTCTTCTTCGTCTGGGGAATGCGTTATATGCGCGCGAGGGCTACTCCCTTGCTCTTCTGTGACTCGGCGTGGGCCGTCGAGATTGGGCTAGGTCGCTTACGCGCATCTAAGTGCGCGCGTACACGTGCGTATGCACGCGTGCGCGAAGAGAACGTGTGCGCGCACGGCACATAACTCTGCAACATTAAACCGCCCGCCGTAGGTCACCGTAGATTACGCATAAATTCTGAGGGATGCGATTTACGACGTTAACCGTCATCCCCCCTCCACTCTACCGCGCGCTCCCATATCTTCTTTCCAGATTTTCTCCCGCGCGCGAACGGCCGTCGCCGCCGTCGCCGCCGCCTCTGGTAGGCAAAGAAAATCGGTCACGAGCGAATCGAGTTTCTTGTACCGTCTTCTCGTTTCTTCTGCGCTCGACGTGTATTTCTTGCCCGCGGTGTGGCACTACGACTTTCCCGCTCGATTGACCGTTCGCGTAGAAAGGAAACTACTCCCCTCCCCCCACTTTTTTCCCGTGATATTCGTTTTATACGTTGATTAAAAGATACAATTAAATAGAAAGTGTGTAATAACATATGTGTGTAATTTATAGATTATACACTTCACGAGCGGTTTTAATATTGAAATTCGAGCGGGGAGATACACACACCGTCGAACTTTCTTTTCTCCAGTTTTTTAATATTAAATGATATAAGTAGAAAATTAGAAGTTATCTAAATATAGAAGTTATCTCCCTTTCTTTTAATTGTTGTTTCGAAGGTTTCGAACGTTGATTGAATCGTAAGAAAATAGAAACGAGAAACAGTAGCATTACGTCGAGATGTGATGCAAGAAACACAATAGAGTCGAGGGTATTCCGGCCACAAGAGGCAGTGCAGCGAGATCTGTAACGCGCAAAGCCTCAAAATAAACGACGAGCAATGATTACGGACTCTGTCGCATATCGGGATTTCCCGACAATAATGATGATTCGACCGACGCACGCACGCACGCGCGGCAACCGCGGTAACCGTGGCCAAACGCACACGCACACGGGGGAGAAGGGAAGAGGATCCCGCGTAGCGAGCTGGTAGGTTGGAAATAACCGCGACGAGGAAAGCAAAAGGGACGAAAGAAAAAGGGAGAGGACGTGCCGCAAGAAACATCCACCTTGAATATCGCCGACGGGATGCGGTTTGAGCGGGAATGCGCATCTGAAGAGGATCGCGCTTCGCGAGCGGCGTTAAAAGAGACGTCTCTTCTCTAAAAGAGACGAATCTTCGATTTTTTCCGATCGATCGGAAGAGAATTTTTCGATCGACAGACGCGTCACCTCGAAATGAAAATTATTACAAAAAAAAAAATGCGTTGTCTCATAATTACAGAACTGTGAAATTTTCTATGACGTAACCGATACTTCTCGCATAGTTCGCGATTTTTATTCTTTATTGGAGAGTTCTCTCATTTGTTTTGCGTTTCGCATTGATTGTGTAAGTTTTATTTGCAAATCGCTTTCCTCCTCTTCTTGGAACGGTATGTCGCCGTGTCTCGCATGACTCTCTGGCGTAACGAAGTCACATATCCGGATTGCTTACGTCATTGCTTGTTACGTAACTTATTTCTTTGGATATTCATCGTAGATATGTAGAATGTAATCTTAATATCTCTCTTTGAAGAGAGATCAGTGATGTCATTCTCTCTTATCTAACTCCAATAGTCGTATAACGTTTTTTACTTTCTATATTTCACATATTAGGTTGTCGCGAGTGGATGTAGGACTGTATCTTAAAACTACTAAAAGTACGGATGATGACGCATCGAGTCGATTCTTTCTCCGATATTGGTCCACAGTTTTCGTCGAGTTTGTATATTTTCAAAAAAAACGAACACTCGCGAGTTTCCCGCCAACACGTATAATAAACGTCTCCTGTTTCCCTCGTCAGCTTTGACAGACGGTATATCCCAATTCGCGGGTACGGAGCGGGTACAGAGGTAATAGAGCTGCAGTTAGTTGCGAGGAGGATCGTATCTCTCTGGTATCTCGCGTATACTCCCCCTTGCCGGTCGTGCACACACGGCGCCGTGGGTACACGACTGCGACGACGCGATACATATTGACCGGCCCCGGTGTGTATCGTATATACTCGCCGCTTAGGGAAGACGTTCTATGGGTAGTTACCGTGGGGAAGATGTATCTTCTCGTATCACCTGGTGCAAACCGACCGATCGACCCCAAGCGAAGATTTTAACCCGGCCCAGAGCAAAACGTTATAAAGACGAACATAGGAGCGAGAGATGGTGGAGGGAAAGGAACTCGACGCGGAACGCGGCAGGTAGAATAGTATCGGCAAATTGCGATCGGCGATCGCCTTGTCGGCGATTCTCCGCGGTACTTCCTGAGTAAGAGAGAGAAAAAGAGAGAGAGAGAAGAGAGAGCGACGGAAGAGAAGAAATAGAGGAATCAATTTACGCAAATATAAATAATATAAAAAAGTAAACAATTTATAACCGCGTGAGAAGTTTATTACAACAATAAAACTGTTCAGCGTTTTACATTAAATATATTCGAAAATTTCTTTGCTTTTATCTAAAAAAAAAAAAAAGAGAGTATTATTTTGTCTGAGAAAAAAGAGAAAAACGACGATGTCTGATCGAAATGCAAATATAGGACGGAGCCTCCAGGCTAAGCGAAATTCGCGCGTCTCGTGGCACGAAGCGTACTCGAGTTATGAGAGCCGAGAGGAAGGAGATTCGCAGCTAAATGACCGAAACTTATCTCAATTACCGCGAGATACGGCGGGGCGCGCGAACGAGGCGCTGTCCGCTGTGAAAGCCGCTCCGGTGCTTTCGCACGGGACGACTCCGT